TGTCCTTTTTGCCGCTTCTAGATTGTTGTTGTTGTTGATGCTGCTGCGTCTGGTCGTGCTTCCTGATAATGTCTGTACGTCTTATGACGTCTTCTCTGGTGATGCGTTTACTGACTACCGTAATAACTGGTGTTTGAGTCTGCGCGCATTTTCTCCCATTCAGTATCAAAATCGGGGACATTTTCAGGGACAGCTTTTACCAGGGACAGGTCACCAAATCGGGGGCTGTCCCCGGAAATCGGGGACGTCTGGTCACCGTAGCGTTATACCACGTGATACAGAGCGACAGCTGGCTGGCAGTTTGGAAAGCAGCGAGACAGGAGGGAAACACACTGCTAACTGTAGCCTCAGTTTGTGCCTCATACAGATCTGCTGGTAAAGTTAACTGAGCGTTAGCAAGCATGATAAAAGATGGCAGAGAGGCGATGTTGTGCAAATAAACCAAAGATTTATTAATTTTCTGTAGCAGTAAACACATGGGCCGATAACAAATGTGTTAACTAACTATGCTAAAGCTTTACAAGCTATTCAGGGCTGCCGACGATAACATTAACACGACAAACAGCAAGGCTACGGCTAACAAGTTAACGTACTGACACTCCTCAGACAGACAAACAGACAGACAGACAGACACACACACACACACACACACACACACCGGACAGCCTCTCAGTCCTTAGCCGCTAACGTTAGCTCATGTACAACACAGATACCACACAGAAACTTTTACAGAGGGTCATAATGTGCTTCTAGTGACTGTCAAATCGCCAGCGAAAGTTGTTTAAAATGCGGACACAGAGAGCAGCTGAGTGCCTGCTCTCATGGGACAAAGATCCTCTGAGAAGAAAGACGGATCACTCTGCTCAGCCACCAGGAACAAACTGGGAGGCAAAGATCCTCTCTGAGGAAGAGGGTTCACTTTGCTGCAGGGTTCACCAAAATGTTTTTTTGTTTGTTTTTTTTTCTTTTAATAAATTGAACACACATTAAAGAACATACAAGATCCTGTAGAGAATTAATTCATATAATACAATACATTAAATATTGTCAAATTAAATGAAGGAAGAGGATTTTTTAAAGGCAAATAAAATAGTGGGGATTTATGTAAAAATATACATAGAGACATATAAATAATTATACAATTAAAGATATGTAGGCTATGTTAGGTGAATACTCCTGTCAAATGCATGGTGTTGAAACATTTAATTTTGATCTTCCTTAGTCCATTTAGACTTTATTTTATCATAACAGTAACAATGAATATTATGAATTGTTCACATTTTAATTTAATTTTAATAACATTTATCACACAGCATTTTGTGGAAAAGTCAAATGTTCACTTTACAGTTTTGATAAACTCAGTAATGTTTCTCAACACATATATTGTTTTGTCTTCATTCAATGTAATTAGCACATATTGTTATTGCACCATTGGTTTTGGCCTTGGTGCCCCACATTTTGGCCGTGATGCCCCAATAAATTTGTATTTATCAAAGGCCAAAGTGGAGGAGTGTTCCCTCTCTGCTGACCAGAGTTTATGTGCATTGTGTCTCTTGTATCAGGCACAATCATAGGTTTTGTTATTTAATGATATTTTTTTATTATTTATTTATAATTTTTGTTACTTCTCCTTTTGTATCAGGAAATAAGCACAATAAATCTTTATGTTGAAAAAAATCGTGAGAGAATCGTGATCTCAATTATAAGCCAAAAAATCGTGATTCTCATTTTTTCCAGAATCGTGCAGCCCTACTAGCAGATCTATTTTCTGGCCTAAAGGGCGGCCGTGACTGGTTCTGAATGTGGACTTTAGCAGGCAGCCGCTCTCTCCTCTTCCTTGTCACCCCCTCGCGCTGAATGTAGGCATGGACTGTAACGCTATATGGCATATACTGCCCCTATCAGTTCTGGAATAGTCATAGCACAGATTCTTATGCTGGTATCGGTTCTTCCTGTTTTTCAAGAAATGAGTATCGCCGGGGGTTTTTCATCATGGAATTGAAAGGTATCGCGAGTATCGGTTCTCATGACATCATTACTCTGGACACTGTTGGGCTGTCGTGGCTGACACGCCTTCTCAGTGTCGCATGGAGATCAGGTACGGTGCCTGCCGAGGACAGACCAGGGTGGTTCTCATTTTCAAAACAGGGGACTGGAGGGTGAGGCTGTTTGTGATATTCATGGACAGGATCTTAAGGCACAGCTGGGGGGAGGAAGGGGTTCCGTTTGGGGACCTCAGAATTGCATCTCTGCTTTTTGCAGATGATGTGTTTCTGTTGGCTTTATCACAGCGTGATCTCCAACATGCACTTGGGCGGAGTGTGAAGCAGTCTGGATGAGAGTCAACACCTCCAGATCTGAGGCTATGGTTCTCTGCTGGAAACTGGTGGATTGCCCCTGCCAGGTTGGGAGAGACTTACTGCCTCAAGCAAGGGAGTTCAAGTATCTTGGGGTCTTGTTCACAAGTGAGGGTAGAATGAAGCGTGCGACGGATCTGTGGTTTGGTGCGGCTTACGCAGTGATGTGGGCGCTGCGCCGGATCATTGTGGTGAAGAGGGAGCTGAAATGGAAGGCCAAGCTTTCAATTTACTGGTCCATCTACATCCCAACTCTCACCTATGGTCATGAGCTCTGGGTTGTAACTGAAAGAATGAGATTACGGATACAAGCGGCTAAAATGAGTTTCCTCCATGGGGTGGCTGGACTCAGCCTTAGTGACCTATCACTAAGGCTGAGCCCAGCCACCCCACGGAGGAAACTCATTTTCATAAGGAGCTCGGACATCTGGGACTTAAGCCTTAACACGGACCTGACCTTGTAATAGATCTCCAATTAAAGTATCAAACTGACTTGGAAATCATTCATAATTATTAATAATAATTAGTAATTATGTTAAATAACGTGACTTAATTTACATCAAATCACCTTGTGGGGCACCATTCCCGAAAGGGAAATATTATTTCTACCGTTTTTTTTTCCCCGTTAAAGGGGTTTTTTTGGGGAGTTTTTCCTTATCCGCTGCGAGGGTCATAAGGACAGAGAGATGTCGTATGCTGTAAAGCCCTGTGAGGCAAATTGTGATTTGTGATATTGGGCTTTATAAATAAAATTGATTGATTGAATTGATTGATTGATTATGCCAGTAAAAGATATCAGTGTCTTAAAATTCACTTAACTATCAATTTGGAATTTTTATTGATAATTAAATTAATAACAGTAACCAAATTTAATAGTAAAGCCTGAAGGATTTCGGAGTTCTTCACACAGCAGAGGTTGACTATTCACTCACTCTTGTGCAATATTTACCAGACAGCAGGTATGATTACAAAAAATTGTATTTATTCATAAAGTGAGCAAAGCAAAACCAAAACACAGAAATTCTAACTAACTATATACAAGCTTGGTGAGTATATGTCTGTGAGTGTGAGTGTGAGTGTAAGAGAGAGAGAGAGAGAGAGAGAGAGAGAGAAAGACAAAGGTGGGTGTGGTAATCAAAGGACCAGAGATAGAGCGGGTCGTCCACCAATCGGAAGACTCAATCAGTTTGATCCCCAGTTCCTCCAGTCTGCATGTTGAAGTATCCTTGAGCAAGATACTGAACCCCAAATTACTCCCAATGATGCTTTCATCGGTGTGTGTGTGTGTTAAAAACTGAGTAGCAGGTGGCACCTTGTATGGTAGCCTCGGCCACCAGTGTATAAATGTGTGTGAATGGGTAACGACTAGACAGGCACTATACAAGTGCAGGTCCATTTACCATTTGGCCTACAAAACAAAATGGCTGGTAACAGAGAACTACAAGATAGCCGAATCAAAGCTGGCTTCAGACTGGGGGGAGGTCTTGTCTGGCTGTGTGGTCAGGACAAAGACAAAGGAAAGGAAGCTATAACTTTGATTTGCATCTTGGGTGTAGCCCTGTTTGTAAACTAGTCTGCAGTATGTGAATGTGATTTGTGTTGCATAAAGTCTGGATTAGTACAAGAGATGTTTAGTGCATGCAAAACGTTGTCTGTGAACAGTATTAGCAAACTTACATCACATAGCTTTGGTGAAGCCATCGAACCAATGACCTAACTGCAAACAATCACAACAATAACTCACTAACGGCATTAAATCACAATCAACAAGTTAAAACAGTCTTGCTTAGCCTGTACAGCTGTGATAAAGCTATGCCCAGTTGTTACATTACCGATCCTTGAATGGATGGAAGAAAGAGCCGCTTGGTGGTGTGCTGCTTTTGTTAGCTGGCAGAGGAAGGCTGGAAAGAGCTGTGGTTTCAGATGCAGTCTTTGTTGTGTCCTTGTTCCGAAGGTGCAGATCCGAGGAAGCTGGTTGCTCAGGGTCTTTGCAGAGTTAGACGCTGGGGTGCTAACTCAACTTGGTTGTCGCTCCTTGTCACTGGAAAGTTAGTTGCAAACCTTGTGCTTGCATACTAATATCTCTGGTTCAGGTTTGAGAGAGTCTGTGAGCAATTGCCCTCCCTTCAGTGGTCAGTTGGCGCTGACCAACTCAGAGGCCATTGTCCAAACAATGGCCTCTGAGTTGGTCAGTGCCCAGGATGTCTGGGCTGGCCAAAGGCCCAGGAGCTAGAGGTAGTGTTAGCAGGTTGACAGCTCACGAGCAAGAGCAGGACTGTCTGAAGGGAGCAGACCTTCTATAGTTGGCTGGGGACATCACACAGTCACATGTCACTGTAAAAGTCCTGTCCAATCAAGTTTGAGACTTGTCTCTCAAAGAGGTGTGAGGTGGGGACCACCTGTGGAGAAGGGTGTCAAATAACTGTCCTCTGTGAAGAACAAAAACAATCTCTCACCTTTTGAGATGACAAGAGGAGAAACCTTCACAGGTCCAGTTAGGATTTTAACAAATGACAAATCATCTGTGGTCCAGTGAATCCCAACATGGGTATGGTCGGTCATACAGTGACTGCTGCATCATATTGCTGTTAGTACAGCGTGTTACTAAAATATTTACAAAGTAATAAATCCTCTCCCTCATAGGGTAGCGTCCTTAAGGGATCTGGTGAGCAGGAAGTACCTCCACCTGAGAAAAAACCCCCTGCTTAGTGGGGAGGGAAACCAGGCCAAAGACGTGCTCTTCCTCTTTAATGGGATGGAGAAGATGAACCTGGACTTCAGAATTGGAGCCACAGAGCTTTGCAGTGATCCCAATGAGGTGCTTCCTCCAGGTGTAGTGGTGGTCAACCTGCTGAGGAAATACCTCCTGCCTGAGGTAAGTGACAGTCCACCCTCACTTTTCTGTTGAGTCTTTGAAATCTGTCTTAGACTGTCATCTATCCGATTGTCATGGGCAAGTGCAAATCGCCACCATGATCGTTGCCAGTAATGTGGAGAATCACTTAAAAGTGCATTGTGTAGAATTAGAGAGGGATTTATACATATGCGTCGAATCAACGCCAAACTAGACTGACGTGCACCTCCCCAGAAATGTAACTTAATGTTACGGCAATGCAGACCACTTGTCTATTTTTGTAAGCTGAAAACCATTTCCCTCAGTGGAAACAAAGCTTTTATTGACTTTATTTCACAGATAAGAAATAATAAATTGTGAAGATAACAAGCCCCCACAAAAAAACATTTTAAAGTCTTGTGCATTCTTTATCCTGGCTTCATATGAGTAGAGGAAATCTCAGCAGCTAGGCTGATTTGTACAATGTAAATGCCATAGGCTTGTGCTAGTAACATTAGCATATTGTATTTTTGGGGAAAATGTGTCCTGCAAAAGACAAGTCCTTTTTTGTGAATCCGGCAAGTTAAAATGAAGCAGATTTGTGTATTTGTGTTTAAATTGTTGCTATTAAGCCATGTTTAATGTGTGTAACTGCAGAGTGACACAGAGACACTGCTGTGGAAGTAAAACTGCTCACAATGGCGTAGGCCACATGTATAGGCTATGGCATAGGCTTTGCATAGAGCTGATGCACAAGTATAAATCCACCTTTAGTGGCATCTAGCGGTGAGGTGGCAGATTGCAATGAACTGAATACAATTCTGCTCCCCCCTCTGTTTCCAAGTGCAACCTCTGGATTCCATCAGGCGCAGCTATGATACGTTCTGGCTACAACACAGCTGCTGGAGGTTATCTTAGCTACTCAAGACAAATCTTGTGATTCCACCAGACATAAAGCAGCACATTTCAGAACCAGAGTTATCCCAGAAACGCTTCTCTGCTCTGCAAAAAAATTGTGCCTAGTCCATATTTGATGGAATTGTATTGCAACTATGGTGGCCTTTAGCTTACATAAAAACATGTAACACCTCTCTCTAGAGCCAGTGTTTGTTCTGGGTTACCATAGAAACATGGCAGTGCAACATGGTGGACTCCAAGGAAGAGGACCCAGTCCCTTTGTAGATATAAAGAGATTCATTCCAAGGTTACGAAAGCACAACAGTTCTTAGTTTCAGGTGATGATACACTCATGTAAAAATAATTATAAACATTACACTGAACATACATTTTCAAGGCAACACTGTTGCTCCTATATGTCACAGGTTAAAATCTAAGGCTTTTTTCATGCACCTAACAGATATATTTCTCTCAAATTTGGTCACAAATGAATTCAAATCAATGTTAGTGAGCACCTCTCCTTCTTCAAGATAATCCATCCACCTGACAGGTGTGGCATATCAGGATGCTGATTAAACAGCATCATAACTACACAAGTGTGCCTTGGGATGGCCCCCACTGAAAATGTGCAATTTTATCACATGACACAATGACACAGATGTTTTGAAGGAGCGTGCTATTGGCATGCTGACTGCTGGAATGTCCACCAAAGCTGTTACCCATTGAGTGAGTGTTCATTTCACTACCATAAGGCCTGTGCAACAAAATCCGTGTCTTGATGAGATATGCCCATTCGAAGTTTGCAATTTCAGTTGGTTGCTATAGTGCCCCCCTTTGGCCAATTGATGTAATATTGCTTCATTCGCATCCTCCCATGACCCTCTACCACTGTGCTAAATTTCACATGGATTGACCAAGTCAGTGAGGAGAAAAACGTGGAACAGACACACCCACAGACAGAGTTTTTGTCATTATGTAGTAAGACAAGGAAGGAAATATTAAAAATCCTTTATTGTAGCCAACATTTTGCAGTCTTTGTCAGGGCTTTCAAAACATACAACACAGGTATGGCCACACCTATTGTGGCAGGAACCAATCAGAGGCCATCACATGACTCATATATTGGTGTTGTAGGTGAAACAAATGGACAATAATGAAAAAATAACAAGTTAATAAAATAAGTTTCATGAGATAAGATACCCAGAAAAAAATAAATTAAGGATAAGGAATCATCTCCATTATGACGTGTTCTAATGGCATATTTATGCTCAGCAAGGCGATCCCTCAAGTGTCTTTTTGTACAGCCTATGTAGAACAAGCCTTCCACACATGGACACGTCAGACAGTAAATAAGAAAAGTGGTGTTGCTATTAATAAAATCATTTTCTTTATAAGTGCTGTTTGTGTTAACATCCACAAAATGTTAAGTTTGTATGACCTTGTCACAGTGAGGGCAATGCGTACATTTAAAAGTGCCAAAAGGTTTAGATAACAGGGTTTCCGCTACATGTAATTGATCGTGGCGCGCTGCCACGGCAAAATAAAAGCCGCCACGCCTTCAGAATGCTGATTTTTTTTTTTTTTTATTACATTATATATTTATTTCTATATTTGTGCACACATACTTACCATAATCAGAGTTTGAAATGATAATTTAAATATCATGAAATGTTATGTGACACTAAGCTGCAATTAACTTTATTTTGAAAAACGAACACCGGAGTCATCACCTGCCTGTCTGGCTGTACTGCAGCGTGCTCAAGAGTGGAGGGGAGGCAAAGAGACGACAGTCTGAAGTAGAGGGAGAGAAAAGGGGTGAGAGATAGGTAGTGCTGTGTAGAGCTTAGATTGGGCCCAAAAAATCCAACCCGACCCCATGCATGTTCTGTCCGAGCCCTGCCCGGCCCGTCCCTTTAACTGTAATTATGAGCCCGAGCCCGGTTTAAATCCGACATTTTTATAAAGATACGAACGTGAACATTGAAGGCTGACTCTCGTCTTTCTTTCCATGGCAAGCTTTCGTCATGTGCCTCTTAAGTGTCGAGGTCCCCGTCTTTTTGCTGTCCTATACCAGCACCGCGCTGCACTTCGTACACTCGATGAAGCCGACACACACGTTGTGAACAACTCACGTGTGCGTGCCAGTGGCGCTGTCAAGGTGGGGGCCATTTATTAATTTGCGACACCTGCTACCTGTTTACCACGCCCCCTCTCATGGCAACCAGGTCAGTGTAAGAGCACATTCAAGATCAACAGTATTCAACACACTTTTAATTGTTTTTATGTGTAGGTGAAGACAGACCTGAGAAACAGGCAGCATCAATGGGCCACCTCATACGACAGAGCCTTAGAGCTCTTTTTCAAAAAAGTGCTCTCAGCCAGGCTGCAACCTGTGCCATTAGATTAGGCTACAGTTGTGTATATAGTTGTGCTACAATTGTGTAATGAATAAATAGGGTATTTATAAAAACATTCAGTTTCCGTCATCGCCGGAGCCCTCCCCCACAGTTTCAAAAAATCCTGGAGGAAACCCTGGATAACCAAGTGCTTTTTTTTTTGTCTGCTGGAAGATGTGTGCATAAGTCTGTCCCTAAGCCTGGGGGCGTGTCTAAAAGAAAAAAATAGGGAGTTAAGGAAAGACTTTGCTCAAAACAGTATGACTCTCAATAATGGCCCAATTATGTTTATGATACGTTTGATTTGTTTAGCATGTGTACTGTATGTTGTGGCAAAAAAGTGGATGAGACTGAGGTGCAGGCTTCTGCCTGATGTTTTGTTTTTTTGGAATAAGTGTATCATGCTATAGAGTGACTGTGCTCTGTGCACTGTAAAAAGCCTGCTTAACCACCTTGGGTTTGTAAGCTCTTTTATGAAAACCTGTTGGACATAGCCTTGGCCTGTGCAACAAAATCTGTGTCTTGATCACAGATATGTCACAGGCATTTGAACTGGCCATAAGGAATGTTTTCTTTAAAGGGGGTGGGGTGAAAAGAGTACGCTTTGAGAATTGTGTCACGTGAAGTAATCATCCTAAAAAGTGTTGCATGTAACTGTCCCTCAACCCCCCTAAAAATCGTCAGATCCAAAAAATTGATACTGTGCTAAGAGTATTCAATATAAAGCTTGATATTGTTATTAATGGAGTTCATGTATTTATGAAAATTCAAAAGTTGTCCTAGTGCCATCAAAAATTATAAGCACCTCATTAATATAGCGGCCATACCAGGTGATACAACGATGGAAGGGATTGGCAGGATATAAAACATATTCCTTTTCCACAGACCCAAAAATAGACAAGCATAATTGGGAGAGAAAATAGAATTTATTTAGTGGTTTGTCTTTTGCCCCAGCTTACGCTGGAATTCCACTGGATGCGTGTCCGTTGCGGAACGGCAGCGCTGGTTATCCACTGCGTGCTCAGCCGTCTGTCAACACCCACCGGCTGCGTTTGCTGTGCGGACCGGTGAAGCTCCGCCGGAAGACATCTTGGTGCACCGCCATGATTAACCTCTCCTTGTCCATGGTGTCAGCGGGGTGAAATGACATCTGAAAACCTCTGACCTGTTGACTTCAGGCACTGTGTATTTTATTTTCAGTATTAAGCGGATGTTTTATTTTGTTTCTGTGCATGACTTCCTGCCCCACGCGATCTGCTCTGTGCTGAATTGCTGCGTTGTGCTCCGGCATCCGGCAAAAATAGAAGTGCTGCGTATCTGTTGCGGAGGGCTCCGGAGTGCCGCAGCTGAGACGGAGCTGGAACGCAGCACAGCCGCAGCCCGTGGAAACACACACATTTACTAGAATTAAATCCTATCGGCTCCGCTGCCGTGCCGAAGCACAGATGCAACCAACACGCATCTGGTGGAAAGTGGGGGTTATACCTGGTGTATTTAATACCAGAGTGGATTGATTGCTCTTTTACCACAACCTTCATCTTATGATGTAGTATTTTCACAATGCAACACACAATTTTCCTAAAACAGTTATCCCTGACAAGAATGATCAAAAACATCAAAAGACAAAACATGTGGAACCTGACACTAGAAAACAAAAGGCTGGAACGCTAGTAGAGCTACTGAGACGAACTGGTACTGAGAGGAGGGAGCACACAGACTAAATACATGAGGAGAGGGAAGACAATGGGA